TTTGTGTACATTTTTTTTTTTTTTCAAAAACACGTTTTCGAAAATAGGAAAGAGAACGCGTTTTCACTATTTTGGAAAATCGAAAATAGAAAATGGGTTGAAAATGCAAAGAGAACGGCACCTAATTGTTCAAGTTATTTCTTGTACACAATAAACATAATTTCTACGATTATTAGTTTTAACTTAAAACCCCCAATCTTTATGTGCATTACAAGAAATAATGGACGAAGTTGAACTTGATTTGGGTGCAAAAAATAAAAGCTCCAGACTTTATATGCATATTTTGAAAATTAAGCAAATTGAAAAAAAAAAAAATGTCGCCAAATAAATGTTTTTTAATTTATATTAGTATTAATTTTAATGAATTTAAGCAATTTTAAAACTTATTCATTGGACCTTAAAGGATTTAAAAATAAAATAAAATTATTATCTTATACATTTAGCTAGGATATTAATTTAGAACACTGACACAAGTCGGGACCGAAGAATTTAATTTTAACGAGATTATTAATTTATCGAACCTTCATTTATTGAGTTCTTTCTGTAAATAGTCCAACCCGGCCCATTTGGGGTCAAATTAAGCCAGACATCCAACATCCCTTTAAACCTCTACTCAAGAACTCTGGTGAATGTAAGATATAAACACTAATATAACATACAATTATTAATACAATGCCGCTCTGTATAAATCCTGGTGAACTTCAAAGTATCAAAAGACAAAGAAAGTACAACAGTTCATCGAATATAATCCAAGAAAGTACAATAGTTCCTCGAATCTAATCCAAAAACACGATCTCGAAATTAAGCTAGCTGAACGACTAAATTTAACTAGATGTATACTTGCAAAAACCAAGACGGCTGCAGTATAACAATCGTCGGTCCATAACCCCAGAAACTTTTGTTTCACGGAGGCTGGCATGCCCTGTCTACACAGGACATCATTGATTGAACCAAAAAGCAAAAGGAAAAGTAAAACTGAATTATTCCCGCCAGCTGAATTGGGGAACTAACCTCTTCAAGCATTGTCGGGGATATGTTGACCTACTATTAATGAAATATATAACCGAAGTTCTAGATTTACCACGAAATATATCCAGAAACTAGAGGCAATAAAACTTTACACATGCCGTATTTCAATGTGAATTCAATCAGGGGATAAGGTCGAAATGCTTTTCCAACAGTGAACGAGCTTCAACAAGAGATGTTACTGTGTAATCTGGTTTGAATTCCGTGTTTTCATACACAGGAGAATCGTACCTTCCTGTTTCATCAAGCAAGCATGTGAAAGCTCCTGCTCGTTTCCCACATGCCACCTGCAAAGACCGTGAATTATTTAAAAAGAATTAATCAAATGAGAAGTAATCCAGCGACCCGTGTAAATAAACAATCGCATTTTTAGATATGGATACCGAAAGTAGCAAGCACAGCCAAGTAAATTAACAACACTACACCGTTCATCAACTACAGGGAAGAATTTGTAAGATTCAAACCAATGCTGAAAAGCATATAATCAAAAAAGTATCACTCAGACGGCCCTGATGATGAAGAAAGAAAGAACTCACGTCATCTTTAAGGCTATCCCCAATCATCATAACCTCGTCTGGTTGCATACCCCAAGTTGTACAGATATGAAGCAGGGGAGCAGGATCTGGTTTATAAGGTCGAAATTCCCTGCTTAATGCAGGAGAAAATATCATCTGAAGAAACACAAAAGATTTTAAATTTAACTTCACTAAGCAGCTGCTTGCAGTTCAGCAGATATTTTCAAACAATGCAAAATTTACCCCGAAGCGTAGATGAAACAAATCCACTGCTTCCTTGACATTCCTAGTGATTAATCCCCTCCTGAAAATGGAATTAACAGAAACTTAAAACTATCATTGTAAAAGACGTAAAGGATAATATCGTAATACTAAACCTAGACTGTGAAAAATTCTACATCCTTTTTATTGATTTTTACACCCATCTACATAAATGTACAGACATTAATTTAATGATATTTTCAGCTCTTGACTAACTCATGACTTCTACAAAAATTAAAGGATCAACACTCAAACAAGGACAATATTTGATGAAAATGGGAAGTAAAATTGATAGCTCTGAGTTAGTTCTGGGCATTTTTAAAGTCGCCAGAATACTAGTAAGTGGCTTTAAACATACTAGAAACCGAGGCAACTGGGATACATGCTCAAAACCTAAATAAATACAATAAAAATTTAAAAATTAAGGCTGTATATTGCATATTTTTTACCAAGTACAATAAGGTCATTCAGATATCAATAATTGCTTACTTGGCAGTGATGCATATCCCAATGAGTTTATATCGAAGGTCTAAGCTCTATGTTGCATAGACACTTCAACTAGGGTAGCGTGTCCATGTCCGACATGTGTTGGACTCTCGTCGGATATCGACACTCTACCATGGTCATTTTCTTTCTTTATCAAGGATATTAAATACTTTTTAACTCAAAATTATTATTAAATAATAAAACAGGTACTCATATTTAAAAAATTTCAACAGAAAAATTAATAACAAGTAAAAAATTAAATTTATACTATATAAATAAATAATTTTAAAGATTTTAATTAATGCGTCGTGTTAGTACCCTTTGAAAAATCGCGTGTCAACGTCGTGTCGGACACACATATCCGTGTCGGTACTCAGTTCACAATTTTGATGAGTTTCATAGACTCGCCTCTTAATATTGCAGTTACACATTTAGTTGTTCTTGTCATTAGGACAAGTCCATACAGCTAAAAATCATGACGTTACTGGTGAGCTGGCACTTGCCTTGTATACCCTCAAGCTCAGACATTGTCAGTTTTCTCTGAAAAAGCAACTAATTTTTAGTTTTTTGTTCAAACATATGCATTCATATTATTGTGCATATACACACAAATGGTGCTTCTTCTATTTAAACCATAATCCAAATTATCCCGTCATGAGTGATAGACGGTAAAGAATGGGCGAGAAAGTGAAACGAACTTCAGGCATTAATAGATGCAGATCGTAAAATGGAATCATCTATCCCCCGTTATTGCTAACATGTTAAGACATAGCAAGGAACAAAATTAATTCACCAGAAAGCAAAATAAGTGAAAGTGAAGAAGTAACAGAATAAAGAACATATCCAAAAAGAATTTAGGGGTCTAACAAAAGAGGAAACGGTAAAAGCTTCAGCAACCAAATACGAACGTAAAGAAGTCTATTTGAATAGTTAACCTTTGCATTACTTTACCTAATATTCCTCGAGTCAAGAAAACCACAAAGTTCTGAAGCACCTGTAGCACAATCAAACTGTAAAAACTTTGATTCAATGCGAGAACCTATAAATTCATCCCAATCTCATGCAAGTTTTGGATATATCAGAAACTACTACTCGGAAATCCCAAATTTGAATTTCTTTTTCTATTTTTTCATTTTATTAATTTATTGCAATGGTTAAATAATTTAATGAATCTGAAGCAGCTCTTTTTCATTTTGTATATGAATAGAAGCAGTAATTAATGCTGAAAATTTTTAGTACCATTTCACACGTCCAAAAGTTGATATCTAGTTACAGAGCACTTGGCTTGTTACTGAGTTATTTATGTATCAAAACACAGCAAAGAAAGAAGTAGGATGATGATTTATGAAGTCAAAACAATATGCACCTCCTTAACGTTTTTTAATCATTTATTTCAGACAAAAAAAAAAGGGATTTATTGATATTGAAGAACGGATTTTAATTTATAAAAATTAATAACTTGGGTTTGTGATAATT